TGTGCATGTATGTGGCAGTGGTTGGAGGGAGGTGCCACAGTGCATATGTGGAAGACAGAGGACAACTTGCAGGCATTAGTTCCCTCCTTTTACACCAGAGATCCCAGGGAATGAATTCAGGTCCCCAGTCCTGATGTTAGATGCCTTTAATGGCTGAGCAGCGTTGTGGGCCTTATAGCCAGGAGTTAACCCAGGGCCTGTGCATGCCAATAGATAAGTGCTATACCACTGTGTCATACCTCCAGCCCTGAATTTCTGTCTTTAAGAACAATATTCAGTCATGAAGAAGTAAGCTTTGAATATTTGAGGAGCTATATCACTTGGTACTTTGCTAGGTGCAGTAAGGATACAAAAGAACCAGTCCCTACAGTTTGCTTTGTTGGAAATAAGAAATATGGGTTTCGTGCTGGGGTGGATCCCAGAAATTGGAGCCCGCCTACCATTAAGGAAAAAGGAGAAAAGAAAAATAGAAAAAAGGGAAAGAAAAACCAGGTGTAGCCATAGCTATAATACGAGAAGTGGGATCAGAAGTACAAGATTATTGGCTATTAGTAAGCTTGAGGCCAGCCTGGGATACATAACCCCTTGCCTCAAAATAAAGCAAGGGACCTAGAGAGATGGTTCAGCAGTTACAAGCATGGCTGCTTTTGCAGAGACCGTTTAGTCTCAGCACCCATGTCTGATAGCTCATAGCCACCTCTAACTCTAGCTCCAGGGGATCCAAACCTTCTTCTGAACTCCACAGGCACTTATACTTATGTGTACATGCCCACACAGAGACACATAACTAAAACAAAAATGAGGGGAGAGGGGCTGGCTTAGCACATCTGTACAAACGCATCTTATTTCTGTGTCAATGAATACTGAGATAGGGTTAGGTGGGAATTTTGTATTTTCGAGTTATTTCCTGCTTTTCTCTTTTGGGGGCAGAAGTCTGGAGTAATTTCAATTTAATGGGAAAGGATGCCCTTTAACGTCAAAAATAGCAAATGAGCCAGTTAAAGCAAACAGTCAGTGGCTTATAGTTATTCACAGTGATGTTCAACCTCTACTCCTGTCCAGTCCTAAACCGTTTCCATCACTCTTAGAGAAAACAGTGGTTATTAACAAGGTTTTTATTTGTTTGAGTTTTTGTTTTGCTTTTAACATCTCTGCCTTTTTCTTGCTCTACTAATCTGTCTTTGCGATCTATGAATTGGCCTAATCAGAACAGTTTGTGTAAATGCAGTCACATAACAAGGGTCCTTTTGTGTGTGGTTTGTCACATCTAGCATAATGCTTGTGAAATTTCACCTTTACGCCGTAAGCTGTCTCACCTCTGCCACCATCTTTCTTCTTTCTTTCTCTTTCTTGTTTTTGTTTTTTTCAAGACAGGGTTTCTTTAAGTAGCCTTGGCTATTCTAGAACTAGCTTTATAGTCCAGACTTGCCTCAAACTCAGAAACTCAAGAGATCCACCTACCTCTGCCTCTTGACTGTTGGGATTGCACCACTACCAGGCCACACAAGTGGAGGGGAATGTATTTGGGCTGTCTTCAAACTCACAATGTAGTTCAGGCAGGCCTCAAACTTAAGGCTGTTCTGCCTCAGCCTACTGAGCAGCAGCCTAACAAGCAAGCGTCACCATGCCTGACAGCTTCTGATCTTTGTACACCCTAGCTACTTTCCAGAAAAGCACTCAGTAAATACCAAGGCCCTCACTGTGGGGGGTGGGCCTCAAAATGCAGTTAGACTCAGTTTACTTCTGTTAGATGAGCACTTTTTACTGTAATATGTCCCACAGTTAAAGTATTAGCAGTAAGGAGCAAGTGGGGAAGTCCTAAAATCTTACTTATAGTAAGTAACCACTAAGAATATTTCCTACCAGTAAGTTTCCAACTCTTAAACTATACTGTTTATGGTTAAAATATGAGAATTTAATGAGGTTACTTCAAAAGGCAGTATAGTCTTAAATTCTAAAACAGAATATATTTATGGTTCTTAATATCCCATTCAACAGGGTCATGTTGTCTCCTAAAACTTCTCAGTGTCCTTCTATAATAAAATTATTTTAAAATTTGGGGACTATAGAGATGGTCCAGTGATTAAGAACACTGGCTGCTCGTAAGAGAACTTGGGTTTAATTCCCAGCACCTACATGCTGATTCACAACCATCTACAACTCCAGTTGCAGGGGATCCAATACCCTCTTCAGAACTCTATGGGCTCAATGAGGTATACAGACGTACGTGCAAGCAAAACATCCATAGAGATGAAATAAAAATAAAATAATTCTTAAAGTTTTAAAAATACTTGTAAATAAGGACAGTTTCTCATACTTCAAGCTTTGTTTTTGTTTGTTTGGTTGGTTGGTTTGATTTGGTTTGGTTTGGTTTTAAATAAAAGACCAGGCTGGAGAGATGGCTCAGCAGTTAAGGGCACTGATTGTTCTTCCAGAGGTCCAGAGTTCAATTCCCAGCAACCACATGGTGGCTCACAATCATCTGTAATGGGATCTGATGCCCTCTTTTGGTGTGTCTGAAGACAGCTACAGTGTACTCATATAAATAAATAAATCTTAAAAAAAATAAAAGAACTCACATTGATTAAGCATCAAAATTACAGTTTTGTATGTGTGTCCTGATAAGATGTATAAGTTTGCAGTTTTGGGAAACTGAATGTTTAAGATCAAAGTTCAGTTCATTCCTAAAGACTTCCCAAGCTAGGCATGCTAGTTTACATCTGTGCTTTCAGAACTTGGGAGGCTAAGGCATACATATTGCCATGAGTTTAAGGTCAGCCCTAGCTACTGTCTAAGATCCTGTTTCAGAAAAGCAAGCAAGCAACCACACAGAACTTCCCATTTTGTAGATACTGGATCTTGGATGATTGGTCACATAAAGGGAGGGTGCTCTCAAATAGAAACTGCATTGCCAAGCAAGTAAGTTCAGTGTTCTCGTCCATTAAAGCCTGTCTGCCACTGATTCCCTAATGCTTATCTTTGATTAATATACAAGGTTCATTTCTGAATGAAGTCAGACACTCAAAATAGCAAAGCTCTTAAAGCACCAGGGGAGTCCATAGTCTGTGCCTTGTGTTATTATATGTGCTCTCTTAACGCCTTGATTGCGCTGATAGAAAGACTCATTCTCTTAGGAAAATCATTGTCTAAATGGTTACTATTAGAAGCCATGTATCAAATCACACCACACACTTTTGGGTTGTTTTTTTTGCTTTTGTTTTTGAGACAAGGTTTTTCTGTGTGTGTTTCTGGCTGTCTTGAAGCTCTCTGTGTAGGCCAGGATAACTTTGAACTCAAAGGTTTTGGGATCAAAGGTGTACACAGCTATGCTGGCTCCAATTTCCATCTTATTTTGAAGCCCGATTACTAAAAAACGGAGGTTGCCACTCAGTCCATCTCTCCACAAGATCTACTGTTTCTCTAGTAGTCTCTCCTTTTGTCATTACAAAGATTTCCTAATTGTCTCAGTTAGGGTTCACTGCAACTCCTATAAAGGGCAACATTCAATTGGGAGCAGCTTACAGGTTCAGAGGTTTAGTCTGTTGTCATCATGATAAGAAGCATAGTGCAGTGCAGACATACAGGGTGCTAGAAAGATAGTTGAGAGCTCTACGCCCAGATCTGAAGGCAGCAGAAAGAGACTGAGACACATGTCTTCCAACAATACCACACCTTCTCCAACAAGGTTATACCCCTAATAGTGCCACTCCCTATGAGTCTTTTGGGAGCCATTTTTTTCAAACTACCATACTAGTTTATTTTCAAAGTAGGGTTACAAATGGATCTGTTCATATCTCAAAATCAATCTGTCTTTCTGTGTGTGTGTGTGTGTGTGTGTGTGTGTGTGTGTGTGTGTGTGTGTTGAGTCAGGATTGTGTACCCCTAGCTGGCCTAGAATACTCTATATAAATTAAACTCGCCTTGTGTCAGTCTCTTGCCTCTGCCTCCCAGGTTCTAAGATTACAGCATGTACCACCCCCCCAGCCATATCTCAAAATCTTATTTTAATATTTTCTATTACCATATACCTTGTTCTCATCTTGATGTGGAGCTGAGGTGTTTAGAAAATGATCATAATTGTTACTCCTACATCTTTTGGTCAGTTTTCAAAAATCCTGAAGCTTAGGTTGCACTCCATACCAATTAACTGAGACTGTCTGGAGGAGGGAGCCCGAGGCACTGGCTTTTTGAAGATTGCCAAATGATTCCAGTGTGTAACAAGGTGGAGACCACTGGCTTCTCTTACTAGCCATATAATAGCTAGCCACTCCACCTCACCGTTATTTACTTACTTGTCAGGATTAAGTAGATGACTTATAATGGTGTATTTATCTACTTAAAAATGTTCATACGTTACATAAATGTACTGCTATTATCACTGTAAAAAAAAAAAAAGTCCCAAGCTTGAACTTGAGCTGACAATTCTGACTACTTTTCACTCTTGATAAACTGCTTTGCCTCTTGATCCCTGTGAGGGTATGCTTTTCCTCTTACAGGTCATTGCAGGAATGTGTGTGTGTGTGTGTGTGTGTGTGTAATTTTGTTTATATAAGTATATTTTATCTTAATTTCTTTTTACACATTTTCTTTTAAGTTTTTGTTTGTATGATTTGAAACAGGATCTTAATGTAGCCTTGGCTACATGAGCCTCTCTAAGTAGCTAAGGCTAGCTTTGAACTCCCAACCCTCCTACCTCCTACCTCCACCTCCTAAGTGCTGAGATTACAGGTATGTGCTATCACATCTGGCTATCCCCTTTAAATAGATAATAAAAGGCAATATTTTAAACTTTGTTGATCTGCTTGGATTCATACCTAGCTCCTTGGATGTGCTGTAAAGAGTGAAAAAAAATGTCCTAAAATTCGGAATCTGGTGAAGAAACATAATTTATAATCACTTACACAGATTATTTATAGACAACTTGTTCTTGTTTGAAGACTTGTCTGTAGAAGTCTGTAGCCTGAGGGGCTGAGAGTGAGTAAACCGTCCTTTCTTTCTAGATCTTCATCTGCTGGTGGACGTGGCCTGTAAGCAGGAGCACTTTCCAAAGGAGGAGGAGTTAAAAGAGTGAGGAGGAGCTGGATGACAACCGTGACATTGTGCACTAGCCACAGCTGGAGGCAGACAGGCGCTGCACGTGACACACTGTTGGGATTTTTTCAGTTCTGTTAAGGAAAAAAAAGCATTTTTTTGTTTTGTTAATTGAGATTTTGTTAAATTGAAAATTGGGAGTTTGGTATTTACTACAGCTGTTCAGTTCAGATTGCTTACCTTGACAAACTGCTAAACATCTAGCGGCCTTTTTTTTTTTTTTTTTTTTATGCTGCCCAGATTCCTTTCAAATGAAAAGTCCTGGCCTTCAAGAAGCATCTAAAAACTACTCTGTTGATGGTATTGGAGCAGTGTGTGTGCTGAGTTGTGATGCCATTTTGAACTGTAGTCAGCACAATGTCGCCTGTCTGAAGTCACAGTGTGATCCTTTAGGGAAGAGGGTATGATAAACCAAGACACGTGAGGTCACCAATAGCACAAGTCCAAGCGGGTCAGGGAGCCCAGGGAGGACATGCTGGAAAATGCTCATTTTCTAAGCGATTAACCACGAACGTCTCTTGTTTCTGAACCCACGTCCTGTTTCAAGAGCAAGGCATCCGGACTTGGCCCGTCCATCATACCAACAGCCTCTGATTCTTTAATATTAATGGGAGTGTTTTTTCCATTTTCATGTCTTTCTTTAATTTGAATGATAAATTATCATAAATAGTAAGAAAGTTTTGTTAATATCACATAAATGTCTTCTAAAGAAAAATATTTAATTTGTTTAATTATATTTATAAATGCTGATAGATGTAAAAGTTTTAAAGCTTTGTATTTTTGTTAACATTGCAGAATAGAAGGATTAAAGGATACATGTATAATTTTATTTTTGAAGGGTAAATGTACAATATGTAAACAAAAACATTGAGAGGTTTAACACAGTGTTTTCTTATTTTAGATTTTTACATTCGGCAAGTATAAATTCTCATCTATAGAAGGTATTGTGTGCAAATTTTGGGGGAAATTGCTTGGTGTCACTTGCCAGAAGCTGTGCTGTAATTTAAAAAACCTATATTTGAAATATTAAACGGCTTAAGCTTCTGAGACTTTGGATAGTGGGGTAGACTATCGCCATTGTTTTCTTACCCCTCAATGAACTGTGCACTTGAGTAGTAGGATTGTAGAACTGTTTTTAAGGAGAGGAAGGACATTTTGGATGCCCAGTTTCTGTAGTTGATCCATGTCCACCCAATGATAGCAAGAAGTTTTCTGATTTAAAGGATTTTAAGGACTAGAACTTTCTTGCTGGATCTCCCCACCCCTGTTTTCCTAATAAATGCTGCAGAAATAAGAGGAAAGTCTATGAATTTAAAGCCAATGAAACAAACAGCACTTCATAATGGCATTACCACTATACTCACCATTGTGGGCCCACAGCTCACTTCTTGCTTTGCACTGTGCCTTCCCAATGGTGTTAGACACAGAAGTGTTCTGGCCATCTGGCTGCTCTGGTGGGTGAGCTCCGTATTAGTCCATGGTGACTTGGTTTAGTTTAGAAACTAGGTTTGAAAAGTGACTTTCAGCATCTAATTAGACTAGCTGTGCTCCTTCCTGGGCACCCCATCATCTTTACTCACGAGGCTTGAAGGATGCACAGACTATCGAGATGGCTACATCTATCCATGCCAAATGGCTTGGCAAAGTATGTGAAAAGCTTCTAATGAAGGACCTTTGCCTTTTCTCTGTCACATTGAAGAGCTGGTTAAGCTGTGTAGGTGATACTTCTTCTCCTCAAAATGCCTTTCTTAGCCTTATGCGTATTGAAAGAGGTAATATCTTTTGAGGAACATGTGTCAAGCAGGAACCTTGGCACAGACATGGTTTCAGTGGTTTTAAGGCTTGATCAGTGAAATGCCTTGATCAGCTTTCCAAACGTTTTTTGTATATGAATACACCAGGTAAAGGAGCTGGATCTCCTGCTCTACTCACATGCCTGGTGCGGATAGCAAGCAGTCGAGCAAATGTGCGCGTGAACTAGCCGGTAGGGCCCGACACACTCAGTTCCGTCTAGCACCTCTGCGTTTCAGCACCTTAAGCACCGATCAGTTTTAATCAGTCAACAATAAAATGAATGTTCCAACTAGACTCTTGTCTTGGTTGTTTTACTGTTTTATTGGCAGCCAATAGAAATTTTAGTTGTTATGAGCATTAATGCTGGGTAAAGTTGAAAGACTCAATGCATTCTGTTTTTCAAAGAGTCTGATTTCTCTCTTTCACCCTGCAGTGCTGGAGGTGAACTCAGAGCCTGGCAGGCAGGCTAGGTAAACACTGTACCTTGTCTCCTTCTTGTTGAGACAAGGTCTTGCTATATAGATCAGGCTAGCCTTAAACCTGAAGTGATGCTCCTGCCTCAATATCTGGAGGTCTATATTTCAGGTGTGTGACACCATACACAATCTGATTTCTTTCTTTCTTCTTTGTGTTTTTTTTTTTTTTAAAAAAAACATTACCAGAAACTGGAGATGTAGCTCAATTGGGAGTATACACAAAGCACCACATAAACCAGATGTGTGGTGCACATCTGCATTCCCAACACAGGTGGACCAGAACTTCAAGGTTATTCTTGGCTGCATATAGAGGTAGAGGCCAGCCTGGGATCTATGAGACCAAGACACTATCTCAGCAAAACAGTTGTCTAGATCTTTAAAAAGAATTCTTTTAAAATAATGATTAAAAATTAAATGTTTCTAAGAATAAGGACAGTTCTTATACATACTTTATAGAGTCCTGGGTTTTAGAAAAGGGTGAGTAGTCTTCAGTAACTTGAGTCAATCCAGACAGGAAAGTGGATTGCTAAGGATGTTCTGTATAACGTGCATGACTAGGCTTGGGCTGAGGAGGCATCGGAGACCCAGAATACTAGTCCCACAGGTACAGGCCCTGCATTTAAACCTCAGCACCACAAAAAGGAGTCAACGCGACAGGCACCACCACACAATGCCATCTATAACATTTTCAGGAAAGAAATATGGCATATCAGACCTAATTTGAATACTGATTTACCTTGTCATTTTGGTGATGTTCGTGAACGATGTATTATCAGTGCACTACAGCACAGAGTTGTTTGATCTCAAGCTCACGATAAATTTGTTTCATCATTTCAAGACTTCAGAATTTCCTCAAGAGAGAACAACCAAGTTTATAAGTTTAGATTTTTATTTTTCAACTAAATATGCATATTAACTATTAATTAAATACTCTGAGTTTCAAGAAGGAAAAAAGGTACAGTCTACTTACAAGTTATTTTGTTGTTTCTCTTTACCCGGAAGATATTTAACTTGTAGTAGTGTTCTATAATAACGTATAGTTTTCAATATTTTGATATGCAGTTTTATAACATGCAAAAATAAAAAAGATAATAGATTTTTAAAAAGAATTATCTCCTGTAGAATTAGCTTTTGTCCTCTGGGGCAGGAACTGCAAACAGTCTATATAGTCATGTCCTTAGCATCCAACAAGAGAGGAAATGGTGCTGAATTAATAATTGACTTTAGGGGCTCAGATGACTCAGCGCTTAAGAACATGTTCTACTCTGGCAGAGGACCTGAGTTCAGTTCCCAGAAACCACACTGAGTGGCTTACAGTGATCTATAATTCCAGATTTAAGGAAAGCTGACGCTCTCTAACCTCCTAGGACACTTCAACAAACGTGGAGATGTACACATAGATTTAAAAGTGTATCTCTCTAGAAGATGCTTTTAGTTTTTAAGTTTAATTGGACCAAAAGCACTGGTGAATGTGGACATGAAATGTCACTCTATTGCCATGGTTACGAGCAAAACATTTGGGCTAGTGAGGTAGCTCAGCATGTAAGGCATCATGCAGTCTTGATGACCTCTGAATGGGACCCCCAGAGCTCACATAAGGTGGGAGGAGAGAACCAACTCCACAGAATTGTCCTTTGACCTTCACACCTGTACCCCCACATACCTCTCTCTTTCTCTCCCTCCCTCCCCCCCCTCACACACACACACAATTATACATTTAAAAATTTAAACAAGTTTACTTCAGAGCTAGACATACATGATGGACGACACTTGTAATCCCACCTAAAAAGTTTAAGCAGGAGTTTCAGGAGTTATTGTCTAGCCTGGGCTAAAAAACAACCCCCCCTCCTTTTAGAAGAAAAAACCATTTAGAGTTTCTCTCCCCCAGGTTCGTTATTAACTATAGAACCCTGGGACCATCTTAAACCTATATAGAAAAATATCCGTGGGTAACTTAATGCTTTCAGAGACATTATATTACGTAATCCTTACAGCAAGCCTACTATTGCAGTTATCCACGGGGCTTTTTTTTTTTTTTTTTTGACAGAGGGTTCTGCTTTATATCTGACTGACTTAGAACTCACTCTACAGGCCAAGCTGGCCTCCAGTTAACAACAGTCTTCCTCATTTAGTTTTGTGACTACTAATATTACAGTTGTGAGCCACTATGCTTGGCTAATTATCCACATTTTACACATGCCCAAACAGGTTCATCTATATATGAAGTTACAAAACTTTATCCCAATTATTTAAAATGCATACATTTCAGTAGAGTTGACTTGTTCACATTGTTGTTCATGAGTAGAATTTTGAAAAATTTTTCTAGTTCAACAGCAGAATGCCTGACCATGGGGCTGGAGAGATGGCTCAGAGGTTAAGAGCACTGACTGCTCTTCCAGAGTTTGATTCTCAGCATTCACATGGTGGCTCACAAACATCTGTAACTCCAGCCCCACAGATCTTACACTTTCTTCTGGCCTCTCACACACATGGTATACAAACATACATGCAGACAAAACATCCATAGCAAATAAAATTTTTAAAAAGAAATGTCAAATATAATTTTGTACATTTAAATATTACAATATTCAAATATCCCATGTGAAGACTATTATAAAGAGCTGTATTGCATGAATGTAGTAATTAGCTAAGTTTAGTCTTCTTTTTACCTATGCTGTTTTTATTAGACATATTTAACTTTTTTTTTTTT